AATGCCCGATCGAATCTTCTCCATTTCCCGAGAAACTTGCATCCGCTGCGGTGGCGCGCGACCGTCAAAGAACACTCTAGAAAATCCGATGAAACATTTTCCCGGCTGACGCTCGTCTTTTGCCAAATCATGTTTGGCCGGTAAGGCCATTCTGGCCACTCTGCTTTCCGACAGCTTCGCGGAATCACGGAAACGAACGATCCATCGTTCTTGAACTTCACGAAATCCTGCGTCTAGATAAACGTAGTGTCATAATTCGATCCGTTCCATTTTCTTCTTTCACCACTTTCTACTGGTTTTTTTCGTTTACTTATTTATACTTATTCCTTCAAGTTCTTTGTGACACAGGGTTACATTAATATAGAGGGAGGTGATTCGATTCGTTTCACGCAAGTTTCAAGGTATGACGGAGGCTTTCCTTTTTCTAGATACTAGGATTTTGATATTAATAATACAAAATTTGTAATTGGTAATCGGTAATCAATAATTGGTACTTGGTACTCGGTAATCGGTACTCGGTAATCGGTAATCGGTAATCGGTAATCGGTAATCGGTATTCGATACTCTGTAATCGGTAGTTAGGAATCGGAAATAGTTCAAATTAGTCGGTAATCGGTAATCGGTAATCGGTAATCGGTAATCGGTAATCGGTGATCGGTAATCGGTAATCGGTAATCAGGAATCGGAAATAGCTAAAATTAGTCGATAATCGGTCATTGGTAATCGGTATTCTGTAATAGGTAATCGGTAATCTATATTCTGTAATCGGTAATCGATAGTCCATAATCGGTATATAAAGGGACCGAAAACAAGGCTTTGCCTTTCTCTAGGTTAGGCAGATCTGAACATACTTAAAAGTAACCAGGTTGTGATACATGGAACTCCTAACACTGTGCCTAAATAGTCTCACATGTTATCTTCACGTGTCCACAAATCCTCGGTTACACAGGATCCTCGCGTCCAATATTACGTTCGATAAAAAACCGAAAATTTTATTTCCGTGATCCTAACCAGCGCAAGAGACCATGTTTCAAATAAAGGGATAGGGCGAAGGGAGAACAGAAATTTTCGATGGAACAGATTATTTTCCGGGAAATTTTCTTATCTCGAACGAAGGATGAAGGTAGCAAAATGAAAGTATCTAGAAAGTAGTTGACATTTCCGAGAGTTCCAGGAAAATTCTCGGTTTTCCGGATCCATTGTCGTCTCCTGAGAGTGGCCGACCGTTCCACGATGACGAGAGCTCGTTTGGAGAGGCTGGGATGGCCCAGATTGTGGTCTATAATCGGACCGGTATAGAGACACGGTTTGTTGCCTTTCGGTTTTTAGCTGGCTTCGGGACGGTCGGCTAACGTGGAAGGAGGGAGATAGAGAAAGGGAGAGAAAGAGAGGGTGATGGGGAGCCAAGCCCCGCGAAACTCTGACATGTTCGATCATTTGAGGGGGACGTCACTTAAATGACGTCCTCCTTTTAGACCACGCTCGTGCCACGTGAGCCCCTGTACACGTGCCTTCTCCCGCGTGAAACGCATTTCCCGTGCCGTCTCACTTAAATTCCAACGGGAAATAACTTTCTTCCCATAGATACTTTATTTTGTGTCTATTTATTTTCTTCTTCTTTGGAACTAGTCATGAAAATGTTGAAAAAATGTTAGATCAGTTAGGTAAAATATGATTTCAATTAGAATCTGTGTGATTCTGAATAGTGACGATCAAGTGTCTATTCAACGGCGAATTATTTACATATTAGGTCGATGCGTAAATAATAATAATAATTTATTTATGGGTCTACACCCATTGGTGACAAAATACATAAAGTAATTAGGAAATGTAGTTGATAACGTGTAACGGTACATTCATGTTACATAATTTTCGATCCTGTTAGTGAGTACAGTTGCTATCTGAAAAAAATTTTGGAATGCTGGAAAATTGACAGATTTACAGATCCGATAAATACAATTATGTAGTCCAGACGTGGTACGATGGTACCATCGTATTACGATACCATAATCACAATATTAACATTTATCTCGCTTTAAATTAATTACGTCAGCGTCATCCAGAAGTAATTATACTACCTACTACTTCAAGAGACCCACCGCACGAAGTATGGACAATATAATTGCATAAACCGTATAATTATGAATGTTAATAAATTCTGTGTATCGCTGGACTTCTTTAGTTCCCAAGTCTCATTTAGGCATAGATTATACAACACATTGATACCTACAATTGACTGATTATAGTAAAGGGTTATATACCCGTAGATCAATAAATAAATAAAAAAATAAATAAAATAAATTGTATCTCGTTATCGGTATTATTTGTCAATGTCTGGAGGACTAGAATTATTGCTTGCTGCTTGGAATTCAAGCGTGTTGCAATTATTCTAAAAACCCTAATATATCAGCAATTACAAGATTTAATAGCTTCTGTAAATAGTCATTTTTTAAATGAAAAAAAAAAAAAAAGAAACGATAATATTAACGTTATCCACGTTCTTGTGATTTGTTTTTATCATCGAATATTACAGGACGTATGCTGCGTGTAAAGCAAACCCAGGAGTATCTCTTGGATTTCTGTATTTCAGATTCAACGGGTGGCCTGGTATTCGGCATACCGCTGTCACAGTGTTTGGAGAACGACAGGATTGCTAGAATCGCCGCTGGCGAGGTCGCCGACATCGGCTGCCTGTCGAGGAGCAGCAGACACGGGAGCAGGACAAGTTTCACGAGCCTTATCGAGCCCACCGTGGCAGCCAAGACCGATGTGGTAAGTAGATTGGATCCTCGCACTGTGTCGGACATGCCGACGAATAAGACAGAGACGGACACGGTTAACAGTGAAACAATAGATGACGAATGGAAACGTGATATTGCGGATTGTTTTCTTCCCGTTTGTCCGATTAGATGGGCAAAACGTTTCGGTCCTGCATAAGCGATGATTGAAAAGGGTTAATGAAGGTTACTGGGGGTTAATGAGGGTTAATGAGGGTTACAGAGGGTTACAGAGGGTTACTGAGCGTTACAGAGGTTACAGAGTGTTACAAGGTGTTAAATAGGGTTGAGAAGGGTCGAAAAGGGTTGAAAAGGTTTAGAAGGGGGTTGGAAGGGGATTTAAAAGGGTTTAAAAGGGTTAATAAGCGGTTTAAAAAAGTTTAAAGGGGTAAAAGGGGTGTACTGTTAAACAAGATTAAAAATTATTCAAAGGAGTCTAAAAGGGTTAAAAAGGATTAGAAGGAGTCTAAAAGGGTTAAAAAGGATTAAAAGGAGTCTGAAAGGGTTAAAAAGTATTAGAATGGGTCTATAAAGAGTGTTGAAAACTGTTAAACACAGATAAGAAGGTTACAGTATAATCAAGATTCATGTAGATGATTCAGTGCCACAATATTTTTTCACGAAATCAAATTCGCACACACATTAGCATCACAATTCCCCAGAATCCAATAGAATATTAAACTTCAGCCCGACATAATTTTTGCGTATAATGTTTATATTCTTCTCCGTCTAACAAACTTCATATGCGGAGATAGAATCTTCTAATTTTACTCCTGACTTCACAATTTACATTGAAAACATCTTAATTTCAAAGAATCATAAACTACACACTTACATTCATAAATATCCGCCGTCTTATCGATCAGTCTTTATAATTCAGACAAGTAGAAATAACCAGTAATGGGCAGACGCAGTAGTTAGAATGCAGCTTAAAGTACACTCAAACGCTTGTTTAATCTTCATCATCAACATGCTCGGAAACGAACGCCTCGTACGATAAAAAAATTCTATTCCACCTTTCGTTTTCGCGCGTAGAATCGCCCTCCTGTGCAAACAATCACGATCTCTCAAGGCCTCGCGTCCCAAGGGGCGTATTAACGCGGGAACCGTCCACGTGGCGTAGTTTTTTCTTTTGGCTGACGGGCGGGGTGGAGCAACAAAGTGGCCGAACGACGTTTATTTTCGCGGGCTCTGGACCATCGTCTCTCCTAGCACGGATCCACGGCATGGAAAGCGACGATGAAAAAAAAAAAAAAGTAGAAAAGATTCGGTGGTGATTTACAATGCCGAAAATTTTATTCGAGCAGCCGCGGCTCGTAAAGCGACGGAGTCGGGCCACGGACGCCCACGTGGTGCCCACCGTGCGGACATCCACGAGTCACCTGTTTTAGATTGACGTTAACTAATCTGCGCGCGAAACGCGGCTCCCTCGGGCTGTCCCGATCGAAACTTTGACCACGGCGGAAATAGATACATTACACGAATAGTAGTCGTGCTTTACTACGTTTCTTTCTGTTTTTTTATTTTTTTTTTTTTAGATGAAACACGCCGAGCATAGCGACGACGCGAGAGATACTCGGTTGCAAAGGTGATTTGTACTTTTTCTGTAACGTCGGGATGAGGTATAAATTTCTCGTGAGCTTTGAGGCGACGGTAGGGGAAAAGAGAAATTCTACGTCGAGTTTTGTGGAAGCTTCGTTTTGTTTTTTGCGGTTAGTATTTCTGACAGATAGGGGTACAGTGACAAATAGGAAATGTAATTTTGGAAGTAAGATGTGTTTTAGCGAAATGAACTTCTATGAGATAATTTTCGTGTGTTTTGAGGGTATGCCGAGGAAAAGATTTCGAGTTTTGTGGAAGCTTCATTTTTTTTGTGGTTAGTATTTATGACAGATTGCGGTAAGGTGACAAATAGGAAATGTAATTTTGGAAGTAAGATCTGTTTTAGCGAAATTAACTTCTATGAGATAATTTTCGTGTGTCTTGAGGGTATGTCGAGGAAAAGATTTCGAGTTTTGTGGAAGCTTCATTTTTTTGCGGTTAGAATTTATGACAGATAGGGGTACGGTGACAAATAGGAAATGTAATTTTGGAAGTAAGGTGTGTTTTAGCGAAATTAACTTCTATGAGATAATTTTCGTGTGTTTTGAGGGTATGTCGAGGAAAAGATTTCGAGTTTTGTGGAAGCTTCATTTTTTTGTGGTTAGTATTTATGACAGATAGGGGTACGATGACAAATAAGAAATGTAATTTTGGAAGTAAGATGTGTTTTAGCGAAATGAACTTCTATGAGATAATTTTTGTTTGTTTTGAGGGTATGTTGAAGTAGATTCTTGTTCGAGCTTTGTGGAAGCTGTTTTTTTTTGTGGTTAGTGGTTATGACAAATAGTCAAAACAATAGTTAAAACAACCTTACTTTTTCTATATAATCCGAATCTCGCATAATGCGATTTATACACTGCGTGGTATAAATGTGGCATAACGGCAACCAAGTTTGCTATGTCAGTAATCATGTTGAGAATTAAATGAAATAAATGTTTCTCCAGAAAATGATAGATTCTGAAAAGAAGTGATTAATTTTTATTTTAACCACAACACATAAAGATTGAAAATTTTGTGGGTTGATTTATAATTCTGTCACACAGTGTATAACCTGACATTTCTATGGAACTTAATATCTATATTACACAAGAGTTACCTGTATTGATAATGTTGGTAGTTTCTGAAGTATTCGTAACTTATAGATAATTGCATTGCAGAGACGTATTTTAAGATCCGTTTATAAATGGGCGGTGATAAAATAAAGTAGGTTCAAATAGGGGTGGAAAGTGGCGAGACTTGTATTACAATGGCGGTCTCACTGCAATACAATAAATCACTACCACACAATGGCTCAGTTTTTAAATAGTAGATGAAAGGAGAAAAGAGATTTATATATAGGAGGAAAAAGATGAGAGGAATGAATTGTAGTAGTAATTAAAAGTTCGAAAACTTTGTTACAAAATAGAAAATCTGCTGGTCACACGTGCATTTAGAATTTGACTTTGCTAACACGTCTGTCCATTGCATTCTGTTTCTACTTATTTTTAGCACTAAGGAAAAAATAAGAAAAGTTTGGATTTTTATTAAAAGAAAAGAAGAGAATTCAATCTACATTTTTCTATGGTTTCTCAAAAATATACAAAGTGACGTGTGTTTTAAAGATTGCAGAAACGCGGGGATATTGCGACAAAAAGACGTTTCCTCGTCCCTGCTCACGTAACATTGATCTCGAGATCTTAAAAAAAGTGTGACCTTGACTCCATCCAGCCGCCATAATATTTTCCTCTTCATTTTCTTCTCGTTCATTTTCATTCGACCCGAACGATCTAAACGAGTCGAACAAACCTAACAGTTGTCACTTATACAATAAAAGAATTGGAAATAAATTTAGGATACTCCTGATGTGTTCGAAGCACGTTGAATTCATATTTTCATAGTCACGCTGCTCGTATCCTCATCGTCGCGAGACGGTTCGTAAAAAATGTAGAAACATCGATCGAAGCAACGTCAAATGTTGAACAAGCCTTCGAGCAGAGTTGGGCAAAATGTAATCTAAATTACAATTACAATGTTAAGACAATTACAAATTACTTACTTTCTGTAATTGTGATTGTCACTAACTTCGATTACGATTGTAATTGCCAAATGTAATCGCAAAGTAATTATAATTACAATGTAATTGCCAGATGTAATTGGAGAGCAACTTCAACTACAATGTAATTGTAACTGTAATTACTATTCACAATTAGAATGTAATTACAATGTAATTGTGAATTGTATTTGTCATGCAATCACATTATAATTGTGAATTGTAATTGTCTTGCAATTACATTATATTTGTGAATTATAATTGTCTTGCAATTAATTTATATTTGTGAATTGTAATTGTCTTGCAATCACATTGTAATTGTGAATTGTAATTGTCTTGCAATTATATTGTAATAGTAATTACATCGAAGTTCAATTACTTTTCATTGCAATTTTTAATTACATTGTAATAGTAATTACATGGAAGCTCAATTACTTTTCATTGCAATTTTTAATTACATTGTAATAGTAATTACACGGAAGTTCAATTAATTTCCATTACAGTTTTTAATTGCATGTAACTGCACGTATTAATTACATTGTAATTGATATTACTTTTTAATTAAATTTCCAATGTAATTGCAATGAAATTAATCGATTGCGCCCAGCTCGTGACGAAAGGGACAGTCGCGTGACGGGCATCGTTCACGATCACGAATGCGATCATAAACGCCGTCATCGATTGCGTCAGAGTGTCCGCGGGATCGGGCGACCAAGACGCGCCCGTTTATCGATGGCCACTTGCGCGCGCGCGCGTGCTCGGTCAGCAGAGCCGCAAGTGGTTATTTTTTGACGGGTACGTCAGTACACATCGCCGGCGAACACCCCGTTTTATTCTGTGTTTCGCGTCGTCGCACACAACGGGCTCCGACGCCCGTTTGCCAAATCCTCTTACCGGATTTAACTAACGCTCCACGCTAATTAAATGCTAACGGGCGGCCGTCACGTCACCGTCCACCACCCCCTCAGATGCCCTTGATCGTTTATCGGGGAAAAGTTCCTCGATCCTCCACCGCGTAGGGTTGTGGAAACCGTTGATTGGCCGGGGAAATGCTTACAGTATTATCGGCTGTTCCAAGATCATTTTTCTGTGGGATGCGGAGAATGTTGATTGATCGAGAAATTTTTATTGTATATAGGGTGTTCGAAACAAATTTTTTTTTTTTTCACCGTCTTATAATTGGTGGTTGTTTGTGTACTACTGAAGGTATGGTGTTTGGGGATAAACTAGAAACAAACAGAATTCTTTTTATTGTCTTAAATGTTCTATCAGATCTCAAATATAGTAGAAATCGCAGGCTAAAGTTCATTAAACTGTTTAATATACTAAATTTTATACCATCGCGTATGCTATACATTCTTAAAATCCGCAGTCTAGTGATCAGTTTTGTTCAAACATACTGGATTTAAAAAAAACAGTGTAATGTTTACTTTATACATCTGGATGACCCATAACATTTCATTTAAGAAACTACACCAGCCTTGAATTAGATCTTTCCTCCACGTCTCTTTCAATTCTTACGTGTTTTAGGATATTATTAAATTTCTCTAAATTACTTTAAATTTCCCTTCTTCTAGATTTATTAAATTACTCTTAGAGATTTACGAATGTAGAAGATGTTTCTTAATTAGTCGTAATCTAACGCTATTTCTTCGATTCTATTTTTCCAAGAGCAATCTTTTTCGCGACCGGAAGTAAATGTTTTGGTTTCGGAAGCACCGGCGCCACCTGGCCGGAGAAAACGAGTCCTTTTTTTCCGCCGCTCGTTTGCCACGCGAGAACATCGAACACGTTCGTGCGTTATTTTAAGAAACTCGAGGATTCGATCTGTGCCTCTTGATTTACACCGTCTAATCTAATTTCTGAACTTTTACTCTTCTGCGTATTGATTTTTCGCTTTACGACGCGTTCGGTGTGATTTGTTCACCCCCGTAAACATTTATTTTAAACGTACCTACCTTTGCACGAAGGCACCATAGTTTAACATTTTTTCCACTCAAATTCCTCATTCTTCGCTAATATTTTATAACTCATAAATTACAATTTTCCCGATTAAAATTACTTTCGTTTCGTATAATACGAAATATCAATAAATTACCCCATTAAATCAATGTTAATTTATATTTATTTAATTAATAGGGAGTATATTTATTCTTCACCATTTAATAAGTTAGTAGTATTAATTGTACCAATAAGTACTCCATTTGTTTAAACTACGATTCGATATGTCCCGATGATTATGAAAATGGTGTAACTCATCTATTTTTCGTTTCGAACATTCTTTCATAATATTGAAATATAAATCGATGTAATATAAAACAAGAGAGAAAATAAAACTTTTTTTTGGTTTTTCGACTTATACTATTTTCAATAATCACCCGTAGATATATTTTACCCTAAAAAGCTGTTTTCGACTAATCACTTCACTATACATCCTCTATAGATCCGCCATAAATCCTCCAGTTTCATATAGACTAGTACTAATCTCGTCAAGTCATAGTGGATTACTTGTAAATACTACTGGCATTATATTATTATTTGATATACTTACTATTGGTACACCTAATAAATAACTCTGACCATAAATAATCATTTTTACGTGTAGAATCATCTTTTTATCGTACGATTCACATACGAACACCCTATAGAACCAGTCGATAATTGAACATTCCGCTTGATTCGCGGGCAGTTTACCCAGTTGCGAAAATACGCGATTTAAATCTCCTATCGAATTTACAAAACGAACCGGGAAATTTCGTACGGGTGGGTGGAGAATTTTCATCAGCTTTTCACCTAGAAATAGATCGACCGTTCGTGAAATCGAGACGGGTGATTCATGCTCTATGGATACAACGTCGATTTGTTGCGACGCTCGCCACGACAATGCCACCCTCGACTTCCGGTAAACCGATCGTCGACGGAATCGAACGTAACGCTTCGTATATGTACGCGAGTAGGAGGGGCAATACGATGGATCGTTGAAAAGATTTACAGTGACGTCTCGTGCGTATTCTGATGCTATATATACCTATACAGGGTGAGAAAAAAAAGGGTTCATACCTTCCTGGGTAGATAATACTCGCTAAATGATGAATAAGAGTCTTGTAATAAATATTGGTCGAAGAATTAATAGTTTCGAAGTTATAAAATCACTTTTTTGTGTCGGTTACAGCTAGTGATTTCTTCCCTTCAGGAGCTATCGTACAATGGATTACTTTATCCATTCCTTCTTTTCCAGGATACAGAAGGTTTTTTAGAATTTTTATTAGTTTTCTTACAAGTTTTTCTATACAGTACGATATAGAAATAATGGATTACCTTATGATTTAATCTTTTCCTAGTTGCGAAATTATTTACAGTACTTGTACAATTTTTTGTCAGTGAGAAAGTCCCTTTAACCGAAGCGAAAAATTGTTTATAACTTTAAAAAATTAATCTTTCGACTCATGTTTATTAAGAATACTTTTCATCGTTTGGCAATTATTCTTTATATTCAAAATGTTGTATTGTAAATTCTATAAAGTTTGTACTCAGAAATATATTGTGTACACGGGTTATGGGACATTTGTTTACTGTAAACAAAATACAAATTGTCGTAGAGGTGACTGTTTAAAATGTTCAACATTAACAATTTTGACAACTACAGACTGTTTTCGATTATCGTCCTGGACTCGGTTCTGCTCCATGACAATAACCTTATAGGGATAATTGCTTCACAGAGAGCTTTAACGTGATTATAGCAAATTTTTCGTCAACTCTTTTTTCATGATTTTTCAAGGTCACCTTCAATTTCTTGCAAATACACCTATAATATTTTTACGCCTAACACATGTTATGTTATGACACTAAACGTTTCCCTAAACTTATTTTCCCTTTGAATCGAACAGCACAATAATTAAACGAGGAGAATCATGTACACCACACAATATCCCCCTTGATACCATGTAACATATGTAGCAATAATTTTCAATACAACACAAAATTTGGAAGTTATTCGAGGAGACAAAGTTTGGTGCCTCACCCTGTATAACTGTGTATACACCTGACGCAAATTATCTCTGTTCAGGTATGAATTTATATAAAAGTATCCACGGTCGGTTAATGAAACGAACAACGATCTATTCAATGAATCGTTCGATACCTCGACAATCGATCGATCTTCCATACCGTCGGAAGTTACATCGCGACAGGCACGTGGAAATTTTATTTATAAACCTCGCGGTGAACGTGTTTGGCCGGTGTCGCGATGAAAGGCCATCCGCGTTTAAATAGCCCGACGCGATTGATCGGTTTAAAGGCGATTTCGGTATGAACGACGCGGACCGTCGTCCCGTTGCATCCTCGAATTCGCCGGGTGACGACGTCACGTGTGTCTCGAGTCGAGGATGACGTCACGGATACGGGGACGCGAATAGAACGACGATGAGATGGCGACTATTTTAACCGGGGGATTAATTAAGGATACCGAAATTTTGCAAGACATTCCGTCAGACGGGACAGACCACCAGCGTTTCGGGTGCGTCGTTCCTAGTGATGGGATCGGTACCAATACTATTATGGGATTTAAGGGGTCATGCTCAGTCATTTTTCAAATTTTCAAAAAATCGATTTTTCACTTTCTACATTTTCTTTGAGTACAACATCTCGAGAATATTCTGTGCAAGTTTCAAGGTAATCCAATTAAAAATGACAGAGTTACAGGCGTTAAAAAATGAACATTTTATATAAGTGTAAGCTTGACTTGAAACTTTAAACGCGTTTTTCTCGAAACTACATTTTTCAAATCGGTGATCAATATTTCTCGAAAACTACTGTGTCGATTTACGTGAAGCCTTTTGCGCCTTATTTGAAATCAGAAAAACTTGTCCTTGAACGAAGGATTCTTTTGTTCGTTCCATACTTTTTTTTTTATTGACCAAAAACGAGTGATTTTTTAGGTGAAAATCGCACTTTTTCAGGAAAACGTCTGCTTTGTTTTTGTTAAAAAACACTGCATCTAACGTCTGATTTTGTTCCTAATCAATATTTCGAAAAACTCCACGTGCAAGGACAAGATTGGTTATTCCATTACATAAATCTTACTGAATTTTTAATTTCAGATGAACCGTTACGAAGTTACAGTGAGCACGGCAGACCACTTTTTGTGAAGAGACGTTCGATCTCGATATCGATTTTTGCGACTTTTTGGTCCAGTATCCTAGTTGTGAGAAATCAAAAATGATGAAAATAGTTTTTTTTTCCGAAGCCGAGCCTCTATTTAACTTCTGTTCACTTTATTCCGATCAGTTCCACAAGGGGATTCCCCCAATGGTGGGAATAACGCCGTTGCAGGTGTAGCACTGTTATTTCAACAATTTATCGTGATTCCATGACTACTTGTGATAATATGGCAATCGTAACCCAATGAGAGTAGTTGTTTCAAGGGTGGTAATTATTGTTTTCCAGGGTGGTTCGTGTGAATCGTTGTCGTCGAAGGGAGGCGCCTTGACTGGAAGTGATTCCGGGGTCCTGGAACTAAGCGACAGCGGTGGAGGAGGTCCTCCAGGGGAATGGGACGCGGTACCAGGTGTAGTCAGACAGTGCATCAGGCATCTGGAGAACACAGGTCTTCGGACGCTTGGAGTGTTCCGGGTGTCGCCTTCGAAGAAGAGAGTCAGACAGGTAAGTCTCCTCTTGAGCAGTTGACCATACGTGGATCGTTTGAAAATTTCTCGGTGTGGAGTGGAATGGCACATCGGTTTTCAAATGTTTCTATTTTCACTATCGTCCACTTAAATCTCACTTCAAGATCGCTCAAATGTTTCTATTTTTAATATCGTCCACTCAAATCTCACTTCAAAATCATTCAAATATTTCTGTTTTCAATATCGTCTACTCAAATCTCACTTCGAGATCGTTCAAATGTTTCTATTTTCAATATCGTCTACTCAAATCTCACTTCAAGATCGTTCAAATGTTTCTATTTTCAATATCGTCTGTACACTTGGACCAACGATATTCTATTTTTATAGACGAATACGCAAAATTTGTGGAACGAAGGAACTAGTTTTGGAATAGTGTCGATGTTTTATGATTTACACTATTGTTAATTAATATTAGGACTCCGGTCTGTATGGAGAAAATATGATGTTCCCTAGAAATTGTATATTTTGGAGCACTTTTTATTACTTTATATTTAAACGAATGATGTCCATCGAGCTTTAAGATCTCGTAAAATATGTTTATTTTAGATTTTCAACAATTTCGTAGTATCTTGTTACACTTTCTTCATTTTCGATAAGTGTATTAATACACTGCTAATCAAAATTAAGGTGCCACTAAAATTCATTGGGTTTACAAGAACAAATTTTGTGTCGCCCAAGCATCCTCTCAAAGTTGACGAACATTTTTTAACATTCGTTTGCTGCGTTTCATCTTAAAAAATAAATACCAAACTAAACGAACATAATTTTTAGTTACTGATTCAAAAGCTAGCAGCATCAGGCTACGAAATGGTGATTTCTAATATTTTCTATAACTATTTTTCATTTGAGGATGACCAAAATTTTCAGCAAATTTTAATGGCCAGTGTACATCGTAATATTAGTGCAAGATTTTGGCTTTTATAACGTTTCTATGGCATACTAATGTATTATATTTCTATTATTATTGTTGTCACTCATTACTATTCGTAATGAAGGTTCTAATCGATATTATTTCACAGTGAATAACCATTCAGTTGACTCTACAGGAATAAACATTGTCGTTTCAGTTACGGGAAGACTTTGATTGCGGTCGAGAGACGAAAATCGGCCCCGATCAATGCCCCCACGATGTAGCAGCCCTCCTGAAGGAATTCCTTCGTGACTTACCTGACCCCCTGCTTTGCAGGGACCTCTATCAAGCCTTCGTCCATACACAGAGTAAGATGATACTGAATGAAAATTATAATTACATCCAGTAATCCTCTTAAGTTAAAGAGGTTGAACAGCTCGTCTGACGAGCTAGATCAGCAGTTCAAAGCGATCACGTGCAAAGGATTTACTAATATTCTCGGATGGAGATTCAATCTTCGCGGTATTACAATAATCTCGTTTCAACAAGAGAATTAAATCTTGTATAAATCGGTATACTACTAAATTTCTATGGAATTTTATCTACGAGTGTGATGAATTTTATGTACATTAATAGGACCACAACCTCATTTTTTCAAATTTTCAAATAATGACATATTCCTCTTTAATTAAAATAATTCTTATTAGGTACTCCTATGTCTCCACTGTAAGCATCCATGAAGCTCATTTTGACCAGTTTGCTAGATCAACAGTTATGATTCATGGAAAAAACGTTACAACCGTAAAATCAATTTTTGAAATTCCCAAAAATCCTTCAAGATACGTTCATACATATATCACTACAGACTACACATATTCAAGTGTGAATAGAATCCAAAACGTTATCCCAAAAACTGTTCGATTTCCCGTGGAACGATTCTATATTCAAATTACAGACACCAGAGTATACTATAACTGCATAAAATTCGTCAGTCGAGTAGCAACAGTATATCAAATACGATGGCAACAACAATTTAAGTTTACGTACAGTTGCATCGTTAATTTTCGTTTATCTACTCGTTCTGTGAGCGAATTTCATCGTTTCGTTCGACACCCCGTTCTCTTTAATCCCGATAATTGACGCACGAGCCACTCGGCGCTGAAAGGGTCGAATTTCTCGCAGAGATCCGGAACAGGCGACTCCAGCAAGAAGCTCTTCAGCATCTCATTCAGCTGCTGCCCACGCCGAACCGCGAGACGTTATGGGCGCTTTTGAACTTTCTGAGCGTGGTCGCGGCGAACAGCGAGGATCAGAAGAGCGAGACTGGTGAATGGATGCCTGGGAACAAAATGGACACGACCAATTTAGCCACGGTGAGTCTCCACTCCCGTGTACCATCACTTTTCTTCGAGTTAAACCCTTGCCTTACGATTTTCTTGACGACTGTACTTTCAAGCATTAATTTATCGTTAATAATTTCGCAGATTTTTCTAAGAGATTGATTTACTAATTTCTTCACAAGAAACTCCCCAAAATTCCGTCATTTTTAGCCCCGTTACACCAAGCTCCCTGCTTAAAACTTTTTTTTAATCAAAACAAAAAATACTATAATATCTAATTCTCGACAAATTCATGCCAGTTTAAACGAAAAGAAAAAGAAAAGAAACTGTTTCTACTCTGGCGATGTTGCCTCGTCAGTAATAACTCATCGAATAACCGGAAACCATGTGTCTTTTATTTCAACTTCTTCCCTTAAGCATTCACGCATACAAGACACACTCGAATTTTACATCTTTCATTCTCAAACTGCATTGGAAGAATTCCCTATCACCCGAAATTCCGTCTAAACAAACACAGGAAACTCATCCTAAATTAAGCACACCTCATTTACGCATCACGCCCAATTTATCATGCGACAATCATTTTCTATCCCGCAATTATTAAATATTCGCAGCGGTAGCGATCGATTCGCAACAGTTTAAAATGCATGCCATCTTATAAGACTGTTCACACCAACGCGAAAAATTTATCTATAAAAAATCTATCGCCGCGAAATATTCGCTGACGCTGCGAATATTTCGCGTTGTTTTGTGGAAGCCTTTATTCATATTGGACAACCATTTTCGATCTGTTTGCAAACAATTTGTTCATCTGAGAAAATTTCTGCGTCAAGGTATTCGCCCCGAACATTCTTCACTGCGTGAAGCCCGGTCAGAGGTCGGAGGTGTCCGCCGAGAGGGCAGAGGAGAGGATAGACGTGATAAATGTGGTCAGAGCGCTTCTGGAACACGCTGCGACGTTGTTCACGGTGCCGGCCGCCCTTCTGGACGAGGTATACCTGCACATGATGGACACCCACCCAGTCGAATTGGATCTCGCCCTCTCCCGACGCGCCGAAGAGTGAGTAATTTACGAGGATCTTCCCCTTTATCCCCGTTCTTCGATCTCGTACAATCTTCTTCCTTAGACTTTGCTCCGATTTCAAGGGTTCAAGTTTCAGCTCCAATTTTCCGTACTTTTTTTATTCTTACAATTTAGTGAATCTTTTATTTTATCGTATTGTAACGTTCAGCTTTTTACGATATTAAAATTGTATCTTTGTAAACTCGTAAAGTTTATCGGGATAAAATTGGAGAACAGTCTTTGAGGCTCTTACAAGGGAAGGACTCCAACTGTACCACTTTGATTTTATCGAGGTTTTGTAGGATGAACACATATTTCTAACAGAGATGGGCACAATTTTATTCGAATAATACATAGTGAGAAGTAGCAGTATTTAAGATCGGCATCCTGACCTTCAAACAGTTCATGAGATTAAATAATTGTTTGCAAAGTGTCCACTCATTCGAGAAAAAATATTATTTTATAATAAAAATTGGAATTACCACGTTCGATCAAGTAAAAATGACGAAATATTTTTTTCATCTTTTATTCGTTATTCGAAACATTTTATCTAGATAAGGAATTTGCCCATCTCTGATTTCTAATGATATGTATGAAATGTTAGCCGTAGTTACTTGATAGTTTTGAAGGTATAATTAATTGAAGGTTATATACCTAGTTTTATATGTACTATGAATATAGGTGTTTGTTTCTGATATTATTGCAAAAAATTAATTTTTTTGTACTAATTAATTTTCACGTAACAAGCCTATATACTATATTCATAGTACGTAATATATAATTAGATATGTAACTTTAATTAATTATATCCTGAAAACTATCAAGTAACTATGGCTAATGTTTCCACATATCATTAGAAATATGTATTCTATCATGCTACAAAAGATCATTAAAATCGAAGTGGTACAGTTAGGGTCCTTCCCTTGTCAGTACAGAGTAGCTGAAAGTAATAATCCTAAAATATTTTACTTCTAATTCAGTTTATCTACTTAGTAAAATAGTAACATTAGGTTTTTGATTATTTAATATATATTATTATTTGTACATATTAATATATTGTTCATTATGAAATAATAAAAGAACCTCGGAGGTTCTTCTATCCGGAAGACGAAAGAGACCCCACTTCGATTTCTGGTCCACTACCCGATCAACTGATTCATCTTTCTCCTACGAGACAAAAGAAATTTGTTGAAACTGACAATTAAGCAAAAGAATACACGTGGGAAAAATAACCTGCGCGTTTCTATCAGATTATGTGCGTGGATTATTTAAAAAGTTCTCGGAATGAGGTATATAGATGACATCAGTAATTTTCAAATTTTTAGTTCGCCAAAGATTTTCATTTTACCTAATAACGCTGTTTCCCACCAATTGACCAACAACGAATCCTTATGCAACTTTCTCAAAAGTACTTAAAACATTTGTCTATAAAATAATAATATCATTGATCCAAGTGTATTGATGTTAAAGGGGATAATATTAAAAAATAGAAATTTCCTTAAGAAACAATAAAAGTTTCCTTTCTACTCCACTCTGAGAACTTATAAATGGCCCAAGTAATTAAAGTCCAGTTTTACTGTTAAATCTGATGTAATGAAAATACTATTTACGTAATTATCGTGGAAGAAGAAAGTAAGAGTGGAAGGGTTGAGAGCTAGTGAAGTTTCTTAATCGAATCCCGTCACGACGAAGAAAAGTTAGGGGAGGAAAAGGAGTTGACAGAGCATTTTTCTCGCAGGCAATGCGGTGACGAGGGGGATCCGTGCAGCGAAGCCGAAACCTTTTCGGTCGAGGAGACTCTGACGACGTCGACAACGACCACTGCTGGGACGACCACGTCGACCAGAAAGGTAACCGATCCAGACGGAATCTCATATCCATCGGCCATTCGCGATATTGCCGTGACGTCAAAGTCGCCTATCTGGACGCGTTCGTCGTCCGAACAGGATCCATAACACTTCCACAGAGTTGGAACCATAGAAAAGACATCGAAAAAGAGTTACATACAAAGTTTTGTGGTTCCAATTCATCTGGAAAAATATTTATCTTTTCGAAGCTTACCACTGCTAATTATTTTCTTAATAGTTAGAGTATTGCTAATTTTGAGAACAAATCAAGGGCTGCCTTCTGGTTAGAGGACTGTGTTGGGCCGCACTTAGCCTAAAATCTCTGAGGAATACACTTCCTCTTAAAAATCGAAGCATCGGTAGGGAGTTTCTGACATATATTTGTCACGACGTCAAAGTCTGAATTTCAATGTTACAGGTGTGGACGCGAGAGCAATGCCTTCACCAAACGGCCGGCATAGGCGGAGACATAGGCCCAAGACCGAGGCGGTCAAAAAGGCCCGGTAGCCGACGAAAGGAAGAGGGCAGGAGTAACAGCGTGGATAGTGGATCCAGCGAGGATCCAGGGGATCCTCGGAGAAGGTCGTCGCCCATGGTGATCACCGCCAGCCTCACCATACCGATGTCCGGAGCGTTCACGTTGAACCTCGACGATCCGGACATTCCTTACATCGAGGAGGCGCCGAAGCAACCCAGTGCACCGCCTAGAAGACAGAGGCAACGATCGACATCCGGTTGCAGCGAAGGTTCGTTGGGCCTTCTTATACATCTAGACAAATGTTATTTGAAATGCAAATAAGAAATAACTATTTGGAATAATTTATTTCGAAGCTTTATTTTCAATAATGTCGAGAAATGAATTATTTTGATATTTTTCTCGTTAGGAAAATGTCAATAAACCAAACTCAGACCTAGTCATCTAATATAATTTTGAAGAACAATTGTACAATTATTTCTACGAGTGATTTCAAATGATTAGAAAACAAAATATTAATAACCAACCAAGAAATAAAATTAATCAGAGTTGGTTAGAGGTAGTTCAGGTAAAAGGTATAATTGTTCTGTTAATAACTTTCATAATAAACATTTGATAACTGAAACATTCTGAAGGTCACTCAGGAGGTGTACCTAAGCCAGATCTTGATAACATATGTCAAGATCAAGTACATCTTATTTATCAATACTACTAAAATACGATACTAACTTTTTTTTTTATAATAACTTTTTTACAAACGGTGGCCCAACATATTAAAAACTCATGAAAATCAGAAGTAAATACTTCCCATAACCTCTGCATAAGAACTGTCTCCTAATCGACCCGTTACCTTTCATTTCAAGGAGGAAGGCACGGTAGCGATAGCGCAGTGGGCTCGTCCGCCACGTTGTCCGGCGACCAGGCCCCGAGTTCGCCGCCATCTTGGGCCTCCTCGCCGCCAGCGAGTCCGGACAGCGCGGCGACTGCAGTTTCCTACATACCCGACCAACAGGCTGTTCTCCAGAGGGTTTCGTTCACGACCTCGAGCGAGGTTCGCCAAGTGACCAGGTCGAATAATCAGGAGCCGTCGAGGAGCTCAGCGGCGCCGTACACGCCGAGCATCACAAGCATCGGTGGCGCGGTCCTCAGGTGAGAATCCTTGTCGTCCCGACTATGCGAGTTATACCGACTGCTACGATTCATGGGAATTTAGGTGAAACCTCCGAGCTGTGGTATTTCGTGACAGACGAGTCGGAACGGTTCGATAACCCTGACGAATGTAGAGCAACGTACTGGCGTGCTTTCACCTAGTTATTCGAGGGTTGGGTCGTCTGATACGATTTACCTAATGTTGAATTATGTTGTTTCTTGGGGAAGACTGTTTTCAGAGTTTGTAATGTTGATATTTATATGATTGTATGATTTTAAATTCAGAGTGAAGCGTTCATTATGAGGATAAATAGTTCAACGTTGATTGTTCCGTAATTTGGGTAGGTGACTTTTAATGGTTTTTTTTTTTTTCGTGTTTCTGGAAGAGATACGAAAATTATAAGTTTCGATATGCAGCGAGTCACGGAAGTATTCGTACCCTTGCAATTCTTGAATTCGAATGATTGATGTTTATTGACAAGATACATTCTGAAACGGTTATCAATAAGGATTTATTATGCAATAACTAAGTTTTCGAATGATGTATCATTGATTGAGAATAGTAATATACGTGAATGGAAACTTAAGCGAATCATCGAAAATTTAATGGGCCAGAGGGAGTTTATAAATATTTGCAAATATGTTGATTCCATAAGGATACAACTGGTACAAGTACGAATAACAAAGCCTCTGAGAACATTTTCGCTTGAGGAAAAAGTTGTTTCAAATCACCTGAGATATCACTCCTTTCAAGGACTTACAACTATTTTGGGACACCCAGTATAATCTCCATAAAATACCTCATAAACAAGACTACCCATAACAATCTTTAACACCATGACGAATAATTATTCCATAATCTCCATCATAAACAATTTCATCGAGCAAAGATCTCTCTTTCCAGGTCGAAAACCGCAGACATCGAGAGGATGTTGCACATCTCGCGGCCAGACACCGGTATCGCGGTCTCCCAGGGCAAGACCAGTTCCTCGGCGAGCTCCACCGAGAGCAAGAAGTACACAAAGAGGCGTTACACGGACTCGAGGCATCAGACGCGTCATATCCCCGACTCCGACACCCTGGCTGGTAAAACCGCTATGACAGTCACGTCCCCGTCGTCCGTGACGATGTCCTCTTCGTCCTCTGTGGGCGGCGGTCAGAGTCAACGCGCAGGCGCACAACCGGTATGGAAACGGCGGGAGCTGATCTCTAGCGCGCCAAAGGACAGGGAGGGATACTTCTAATCCCCGATGCGTCAAGAATGTTCAGAATCGAACGCTGGAAGAATTCGAATGGGCAATCGTTCGCGACGAAACGCTTCCAGGGAATTGTGCCGCGGACTGTACAGAGAACTTTTAAATACGCTCTTGTGTTCAATACGGTTACATTAGGGTCTACAGGGTCTAATGATGATTGAGGATCTGAAGATACTGAGTAAGGAACGTCTATGTGTTGACGCGTTCGCAGGATACAGTAGACTCGCGTTAATGTAACGGTGCTGGGCTCTCGAGACGGGTTTTTCTTGGACACGCTACTTTAACGTGAGCCAATTGGCACCCAGGATCGCGTGGTAGTTCGGTCGAATTACCAATTGGATCAGAACTTTCGTTAAAGATGGCGATTGATAGTGGGGTATGCGCACGTTTGCGAGTCACGCGTGTGACCTGGGACGTTCCTATCGCTACTTTAACGCGAGTCTACTGTACGAATAATAATACTGTGCGTAATCTGTAGCTGGGCACTCATGTAGATGTTCGAGTTTTAATTTCCTGCGTTCGGGAAGTTTATGGGATTTGTATTTATTCTCTGGGTAAGTTGAAGATAGAGCACGTTGGGACATAACTGCGTGACTTTCAGTGAGAACAGATGATCTGTTAAGTCTCACTCAATGGATGTTTCACAGACTTCGCTTAATTATTGTGCTGTTCCATTCAAAGGGAAAATGAGTTTAGTGAAATGTATAGAGATTTTGTGGAACTTGCCATTAATTGAGCCTGGGCCGAAGTCCCAACTTTAGAAAGAGACGGGTTGTTTTCAGAGGCCTTGCTATCTCTTTCTAACATATCTGAGTCAACCACTCAAAACCCAGACCCTCAGAACCTCACTCCTCACCACTTAGATTTAAAAAGAGATCTCAAGTCCTCTGAAAGCTATCTACAGTGATTCCTCGATGAATGCGACACAAACAACAGCGTCATTCCCGCCATTGAGTCTCCCTTTTGAACCAATCGAAACGGAGTAAACAGAAGCTAAGTAGAACCTCGATTTCGGGCAAAAAAAGCAAATTTATGATGAGCTGAAAACCTTTCCGTCTTGCCACGAATGCTCCGAAGTGGGCCCGAGTACGTCGCACTCATCGAGATATTACTATACCCCTTCCTAAACTTGGGATGCCGGTTTTCAGAGAGATGCGCAGTCTATTCTTATATGTCTATGATCTAGCTACAGAAGAATCCAAACAAGTGCTTGCTGCGAATGCGTTCACGCGCGTGTTTCATTCACTAGTCAATCTTCTTAGGGTATGTGGGAGCTGCGATAACAGCGAAGAAAAAGAAATATTTGTTTCTCATCGCTTTTATCGTTCATCGTACATATAGCAAGCTCTGCTGGCTACTCCAATAAAAACACTTCCATTATAAAACAATAGATTATATTTCTACGCTTTGCTCCTATCACCGCTCCGATCGTTTATCGCAGCTCCGACATAAACGAACCCTTAGTCGCTAAAAATTGGCCCGGTGTTCTCTCTTACACCAATCTGCGCGTGTGCTGCAAACGACGCCGCGTACGCGTGAACCAGAAACGACGAAGAGCGTTCGAAGATAGCCGCGGAACAGGGTAAAAAAAACGCGCGCGCGTCGTCCTGTCCCATCGTCGAAATCTCCGCGAAACATAGTCACTGCCGATCAGGCGTGGCCTGGCAAAAGTGTTCCTCGACACACGTTTCCCCCGAATCCTGGGGAACCGTGTGCGCTCGGTAGACTGCGGATCTTTATGCAAAATGACATTTTTTCAAGTAATTTACAATGACAAGAGCAAATACAGACTCGTCTCGATTATTGTCCCGAACTCAGGTCCGCCCCGGGACAATAATCTTATAGGGAGAAATGTTTCAGAGCCTTGTAAATTCCTTTTTTACCCGAAGCCCGAGCAACAAAATATGCGCTTGACAGGTTCCACGCCCCCCGACCCCAGTGGTGGGGATAATGCCTGGACAATAATCGTGTAGAAGAAGCCAGACAATAATCGAGGAGAGTCTGTATAGGAATTTCTGTCGCCTCTTATTCATTTCATTGGATTGAGATTAAAATAGATACCCTCGTTGCATCTAATGAAATATTTTTTGCTCTCTTTTTGTTGTATTTCACAGGGCCATAGAGGCTATAATTGCAGAAAATCCGCAGTCTAGACTGCTCGGTATCGTGGGGTGTCTGTTGGTTCCTAGACTACCGTCCTCGCGCTCGCAACGATCTCCGTGACGGAACGTTTCTCTCTGCAAAGTGATGCTCGTTGCTCTCTGCTCCCATTTGCTGGGATCCTGTTCATTGGAGAACCTGGTGAACGAGCGACTTTGCAGGAGGACGTTTCAGCATTACGTGTACGGAACGGGATCAAGTGCAATCGGTGTTGTTAGATTTAGGTAGCAATACTTATTGGATTGAATGGTTTCGCCATATGAGCGGGAAGGTACAGTGGCTGTGGTCGTTAAGGCATGAGTGGGACTGAAGATTCTTTGGAGATTGGGGGTTCAAGACCCAAGTGTCTAGTCCTCATTTTTTCTGGGTTAGTATATAAAGTACTGAATCCATATTTCTACTGCTATAACATATTCTCTACTAGATGTTGCCTCTATTCTCAATGAATCAAAGTATATGTTTTGTGGAAAACAATTGAAATTAGTAAATTAGTTAATTAATTTACTAATTCGCGTATCAAAATGAAAGTTATAGAATTTCAGTAGAATGTATTGTTATGAATCTGACAATCAGTAATATTAATAAGAAATTATTGATCAGTTATTGTTACTGCCTTCTGGGTACTAGTGTTATCAATAGACTGCGGATTTTATGCATTTACAGCCAATAGGGTTCTGTGTAGTACAATAGAAAAAAAACTTTCGTTAAATGCAATGCGTTTTCTACTTTATTCTGAACCCAATAAGATATTTGAAAGAAGAAAGAAATTCCGATCTTAGCTATTGCCTTCAAAAATTACTTTAGAAAATGTCATTTTGCACAAAAATCCGCAATCTAGTTATCACCATGCAACTCGACCACTTTCGAACGCCACTGTACACACAAACACTGAGTTTCGTCACAGCTAACGATGTACTTGGTCCCAACCCGCCACTCACGTGTTATTTATACAAGAAGAAAAGAAACGGAACATTGATCTGTGTCTACGGATAACATTCTAATGTAGTAACGACCGTGTTAGCGTCGATTTGTAAATTATTTTTATTACTAGATCACGATGGACCGTTCACCGTGTAGTTTCACGTCGACGACGACGTGAGGGTCCTTGGACAAGCTAAAAGCCAAGAATGAAGACTAGTCCCTCGAGTCCCCTCGAACTTGCGTCGTGGCCATTTTGTATCTCTCTGGATCAGCGTGAATCTCCAACGGGCGAAGGGTCCCCGACGACTCCCTCGTCCTCCCCCAGATTCTCATCGATCGTACGATATTTTTCTATGGTTGTCATGTGTGTATGAACTGCAACATGAGGAAGCTGGTTAAATAAAAAAAAAAAAAAAAAAAAAGGAAGAAAATAATATTTCGAACCTCTTCCATTTCTGCTTCTATTGAAAATTTCGTGTTTAGGGTATAAGGTGAGCCGATCGAATGAATCCGCGTACTGCCGTGAGGGACGCGTGGCCCGAGAGACGCTGTTGTTCGTCGTTTAAGTTTTCTTTTTCAGTCTGTAAGCTAATAAATGAAGGTTAATTTTTTTACCATCCTGAGTACCTTAATTCTAGGAGCCCCATGTACTTCCTATCATTTTAACGTGTTAAGGGCCGACCTGATTTTGATGATAATTTGTTTTTGTGAACCAAAGAAAATAAGCAGAGCTTCGGAGATCTTAATTTTATTAAAGACAAAGTTAATAAAAATTAAAGAGAAAGAGAGATCCCCAACGTCTCCATAGAAGGGAACGAAAGAACAGAGAATTCGTGAATAGCGATCGAGTTCTCGAAACAGCGTAAGCAAATCTGCTGGTGTAACGAGGAATTTATTTTTAAACATTTGTCACGACGTTGTCAATACTAACGACGAGAAATAATTATAGAAACTCCTTTATTATCAATTTCCTCGCATACAATCGTTCCGTATAAAGATCATACCGGTCGTTACAAAATTCGTCGGGACGCAACGAATAACGCGAAACAGGACGTTCCGCTTGAAATCGGGTAGCAAAGAGGTGCAAAAGGTGAAGACACGAATTCGATAGTTCTGTTAACACGTTGCGTACGGAATTCTGTTCATCCAGCTTTCGATGATCTAAGACAGCGATGGCCAAATGGCGACCCTTCAGTCTATTCCCTTTCGACTCATAAATCATTATGACATTTTTAAAATAAAAATCGTTTCACCACAAGTCGTTCAAGTTTTCCTTTTTAACACGAAATCTCAGAAAATAGTTATTAAAAAATATGAATCTGGTCCTTTTTGGCAACCGAAAGAATAGATCTACCTTTGTCATAAAGTAGCACTAAATAATTGGCTGAAGAATTCTAATATTAACACAAATTGTTTTATTCTTGATCTTGATACTAAATTTTATTTTATTAGTCGACCAGTCAATCAAAGAGTCAATCGAAAAATCTTAATTCTGACGAGTTTTCTAGTATTACACTGGCCACCACTGTCCTAAGATATAATCGTATTATTATTTCTTTCTGCTTTTTGACACACATTTTACGAGATATTATAGAGTTCAGTCATTGCATCAATTTCGCTATTAAATTGAATCACTTTAATATTATCGAACCATAAATATATAAATAAAACACAACAGGTCCGCACGCAATGTGTTAAGATTAGTTGATCTGCACGTGCAAACATACGGTTCTGAGCATACTCAAACACTAGGTATGTATACGCAAAAGTAATTGCCACAGATCCATCGAAGATTTTTATTAACATTGAACAATTGCAACAACGTATATGGTATTTGAAACAGTTCTGCCCACTTCCTATAAACATTCGCCATTCCATTAGCAGAATTTGAATTTATTATCAATAGGATGGGAAAAATAATATAAGAATAAATAAAAGACTTATACGCGACGGCTATCACTTTTGCGTATACCTAATGCTCTCCCATCGCGAA